TGAACCTATATGGGATACGATATGCATAGTAAAGACTAACTTTATTTATTCATATTGGATTCAATTTCAAGGGTATACACCAACAGTTAGTTCCTACAACTATTTTACACTTGCTCATTAGATTATCCTCCAATTCGTATAAATCATACTAAATATTTAATCATAAAATTTATATATCGAAATAAAAGTATAACTTGTTAATAGCAGTTCATTGCTACAAAATCCGACTTCTTTATCATTCTAGATTTTTTTGTATAAAAATAAACTACTGATTTTTCCGTTGATGAATAAACACACAAACCTTAATAGCTTCAAAAACATTTATCTCTATATATTTTTTTTACAATTGACGAACTCAACAAAAAAATCGAAAAAATAACAAGATCATTTCTCAGCTGTTGGAAACTGATCGTCTTTGATTTTTAATTACATTAAGAATTGTTTGGCAGAAGGTTGCGACAATATAAGTTTGTATTGCAATGTTGTATTTCAAAAATTTATTACGAGTTTTCAAATAGTTAAAGTATATATAGATTTGATCATCATTAACGATAAAAAAAATCCATTAAAAATATATAATGTCAACCGAGAATAAAGCCACTCATAGTCCCAAGTTTTGATATTCCTCTTTTGCATTGATGTCATCTTCACTTCTCAATTCCAACTTGTCTTCGTATCTTAAATTAAGATAATCATCTTGTACTCTTAAATTCATATCCTTCTCCCCTCTCAATTCAAGATCATCTTCCCTTTTTAATTCGAGATCATCGTGCCCTCCTAATTCATGATGTTCTTTTTGTTTTAAATCCTCACCGTTTTCGAGAAACAGGTCATTATCTTGCCCTTTCAAATCTAAGTTCCCTTGTTCCTTCTCTACTTTTTCTTCTTCACTATACACAAAGGTAGTTTCCTTTATATTGTTTATATCTTTTTCATCTATAGGTTTGACGACATTGCCTTTAAATATATATAATGCATTTTGATCATCATCTTCCAACTTGCCATTCTCCTCATTTGGATTATTCAACTTAGTAGTAGAAGCGATTGTATTTGTTTCTTGAGTAAAAATTTCCCATTTGTGATGTCGAATGAACTTCAGTGCCATAGGTGGTCCTTCGGGAAAAAGAATTGAAATATGCGCTTGGTGAGGATTGGCTAAAATGCATGTGTTTATTATGATGATGATAAAGTGAGTCCAGGTCCTTTATTACTGCATTTTCCCATGAATTATTCTTTCCAGTAATCAGTTTTTTACCTGAACTATCCTCTGATTCATTTAAATCTGCGCCAGTTGATCGACGCCAATATGACCAACACTGTCCTGCGGTTTTCGTAGTGACGTTTTCAGCTATCTTTGCCCAATTTTGTCCGTATTTTGAAATGGCTTCTTCAAATGCAGTGATTTCTTTTAATGTCCAAACTACATCACCATAACGATTTTTTGCGGATGTTAATGTTCGTCCAGGTAATCTTTCTAATATTTTGGGCCAATTATCACCAAATTCCTTTACAGATTCAAAAAGTATATTGTTCTCTTTTTTTGTCCAAGCTTTGCTTGAAGATGAAGGTGTGTAATACATTATTTGTATTTTCTCTGCTGGTTTTCCGAGAATACTTGTTATTTGTTGCAATTTTTTGTCAAGTAATTCACCGAGACGCACATCTAACGAATCACTTTTATTTGTTTTTCCTGTTTTGGTCTTATCGTAAGATTTAAACTTTGCTATCGATATTAGATTCTCTATACGTTCGTATTTAAGTTGGCATGCTAATGGAGTCCTTCTGAAACGGAAACACTTCGAGGAAATCATAAAATAATCTTTACCGTATTTCTCAACCCCTTTGCGCAGTCTATCAATTTCGTCACTGGTCCACATGTTTATAGTTGGTGTTGCCATTGGGGCAGGATTTGATGAAATGTTATTGTTATATCGCGGCATTTGACCGGGATTTGGTAGCATATCGTCATATCGCTGTCCGGGGTTTGTTTCTGAAATTTGCATCGGTATTGGGCTAGAATATGGAATATTATTGCTATATCGTGGTATTTGACCAGTATTTGGTGGCATATTGGCAAATCGTTGTCCGAAGTTTGTTTCTGAAATTTGCATTGGTATTGGTGTTGTGCTAAAATATGGCATATTATTACTATGTCGTGGTATTTGACCGGGATTTGGTGACATATTGACAAATCGTTGTCCTGGGTTTGATTCTGAAATTTGCATTGTTATTGGCATTGGGCTAAAATATGGCATATTATTGCTATATCGTGGTATTTGACCAGGATTTGGTGGCATATTATCAAATAGTTGTCCTGGATTTGATCCGGGCGTTGGCATTAGCATTAGGCCAGGATATGATGGTATGTAACTGTTATATCGTGGCATTTGATCAAAATTTGATGGCATATTCTGAAATTGTTGTCCTGAATTTGATTCTGAAATTGGCATTGGCATTGGACCAGGATTCGATGGCATGTTATATTGCGGCATTTGATCGGTATTGTTAAATCGAAGTTCTGGATTTGACGCTGAAACTGGATAATTATCAGCAACTCGGGTTATAAATCCTGCAAGTACTCTCGCCCACGCCTCGCTACAAGCTCTAGCAGATTTAAACCTATTAAAGTAATCACGAGATATTGTTTCCCACCTCGTGCCTACTTCACTTACAGCTTTGGCCAATAGATTGTACTCCTCCTGAGACCATTTGGGTCTACTATTATTGGTAGGTCCACCATTATTAGGATTATTTCCCCTATAATTTACATTTTTAGGATCTATTCGTGGATTATTTTGAAAGTTGGTGGACGGCAACGATGACTTTTGACCATATTGTTGATGTGGTGAAGGCGGTTGCTGCTGATTTGCGATAAGCCTATTTTTAAGTAAAGAATAAATTTTTCTTAAGAATTCATGTTCCATTCTACGCACACCGGATATTAAACATGTAGAATAGTAATGTAATTATCGATTTACTTTTGCATATAACTACTTTTTGGAAGATGATGCGTGTATGTATTTTTTGATATTGATGATGGGACTGCTGAGAATCCATCGCCGCCCGTGCTTTTATTACTTTGAAAAGAAACATGCTGTTCTAATGGAGGATAAAGAGTAGCTCTTGGAGAATTAGGGTTTCTTCTATAAAGAGATGCACCACTATTACTATTCTGATTTTTGTTCTTAATAACTGTATCGTTGCTGCCTCCTGGTAAAGAAGTATCGGCGCGTGTTAAAGGTGACGGTTGTTGTGAGGGTGGCTGTGGTTGACTTCTTTTTTGCTCTGGTTGAATAACACTAGGTCTTGGTGAACTTTCAAATGAAGTAGAAAACGGGTTAAATGTCGAGTAACGTGAAAACAAAAGACTTCGTGAATTTATCCAAGTGCCGCCACTACCACTGCCACAACCACTACAGGATACTTTATAAAGTGTTTTTGGATGAAGAAATCTTAACAGCATTATTGAAAAGATTAATTATTATATCACTTTTAATTAGAAAATTTTATAATTACGCGTTCGCTCAAGATTGGTCACGTGAGTGATGACATTATTTGGTCATGGGATCAATCAAAAAATATGTTCATGTTACTTTTGCTATCGCTATTTCCACCATAAAAAATTTGAGTAAGATATTCATATGTACGAGAATTTTAATAAAAGTCCAGCTTCATTATTGGATGAAATTATCAAAGCCATACTCTTACCGAATTTCTTGCTTGAGATGCACTGAAACTCATCAGTTGCGATATTATAAGTATTAGCGACGTGAAACGCAAAATTTATTCGCGAAAATAAATAAATAAAATAAAAAAAAATCTGTATTAGAATAAATCGTTATTGAAAATATGTTAATGGAACGATATAAAGATCTTGAGTTCATGATCCTGTTGTCTTGTATAGTGCATCTTTTTTTTCATATGTCTTACCAAAATGGGTATATATATGATGCTTTTTATTCTCGATAAATTACACTTTGACAAGGCTAAATAATTTTCAAATGTTTTGAGCACATAATTCGTTAATTTATGTAATTGTAATTAATCGAGCGAGACCTTTTCACGATTGTGCTTAAGTAAAAATCAACTGAGAGCTACAAGAAATGACCTTTAAATAAATTAATTAGTCTTTACTGTGGTGGCAATAGCCGCCACATTTGCAGGCTTTAAAAAAATAATGGAAGAATGACAACATTATTGCCTGGAGAAGTGGCACGCTAATATATTTAATGTATTGCGAGTATATGTGAAGAAACTTGACGTTAATATATATGTAAAGTTAAAAATCGCTTGCTTTTATAAATTTAATATTTATTTTGTATAGTATAAAACAAAATTTTTTATTGAATAAGAGAAGGAAACAATAAATTGTTGGAACATTATGACCATTTGAGAATGCATTTCGCATTAAAGAGCAGCTTTATCACAAAATTGTAAAGCATCAAAAACGTTTCGTTACATCGTACAGATCACATGTCATATTAGATTTAAATAATGATAACAAATACTTTTGTGCTTCAAAAGAAAAAATGTATTTAATGTACTATCTTGACGCGAATGGTAACCGCATATATACCATGAAGGTAACGTTACTTATCCCATTTATGACAATAATTTATTTTTCATCTTTACAACGCCAATAAAGCTGCGAAATGTTATCGTTGATAATTAAAATTAGAAACTAAGTCCAACAGGAGAAGTCACAAAATCGGCACACCCCGCTAGGTTTTCTCCAGACGACAAGTTCTCGCATCATAGGGTCACGTTGAAGAAGAGATTTAACTTGTTATTGACACAGCAACAGCAAAAGGATTTATGAGAAAAGTAGTGTGGTGAGTTCTCTGAATAGCACGGTTATTATGCATTGGTGAATATGATAATTAATATATAATCAATCTGGATGTAGCGAATGCCCTATGTAACGAATACTGATTAAACTCGGGATTTAATGATTTGAGTTCCAGACCCATTTATAATAAAAATCCTTGGATATAGTTATAATGAATTTTCGACAAATTTTACTAATAGACCCGGACCATTCGTTATATCAAGATCCGCTATGTACTTAGTTACAGTCCCGGCGAAAATAATGGCGGAGTGTTTTTAATGTTAATGTAATTATATAATAAAATTGAATTTTATCCTTTTAGATTCTGGTAGCTTCACTGTTTTAATATATTTATAGCAATTTACCGTTTTCTTGCCATTCAAAAACCAGAATGAGATTTTTCTTGATGATATGATTCTAATAATATTATATATCTCTAGTAAGATTTTTCAAAGTCATCAAAATATTAAATTAATTTTCATGAATCAGAGATATAAAATTAAAAATAATTTTATCTCATTCTGATATTTGACTAATAATAAAATAAAAATTTGAGTATTATTTATTAATTTATTTTTTAATATAATTATATAATATATCAAAAATATTAAATTGATTAAAAAGTTCATATATTTTTATCTTTATCAAAATTATATTCAAATTTCAAATAAAATATATCATATAATATTATTTATAATATTCTATTAATAAGATATTATTTAAATTTTAAATTCTGATATTTTTAAGATATTTTAATATTAATAAGCTTATTAAATATAATATTATCAATTATAAAATTATATATTTTAATTAATAACAAAAATTCATAATTTTAATTAATTTATATATAATACTATTCAGCTTTAAATTCTTTTATTATATTCTAATTATATTCTCTCTTTATAATACTTTTCTTTTGCATAATATTTTTTTAGATATCATTCAATTTAATATTTAATTGGAAATTTTTTGAATATTGTAAATAATACTAATAAAAATTATATTCAAGATAATTTTTCTTTTTTTTAAAACAATCATATTCAAATCAGAAAAACCAAGATTAAATAAAAAATCATTCATATAAATATTGTTTTTATTAGAAACTATATCCAGCTCAATTAAATTTAAGTACAATCAAACCTTTTTTTATTATCACATCTTTATGATAAAAAAATTTACAAGCTATAATTACATGCAATAGTTATATTACAAACAAGATATTAAAAACGTAACTTATAATCAAATATATTATAAATCCACAGAAAATGATTAGTTATCCAAAAATTATCACTTTTGATT